AGCGGCGAGATCGCGTTCAGGCGCTCACACAGGTCCAGAACCTCGGCCGCCGCGGTTCCGGGTCGGAACATCACTGCGTCCTTGTACTCCCCAGGGAACTGGACGTGATCTGCGTCGATGGTCACAAAGGACGGGCCGCTGGCCCTCATTGCCGGCAGCTGCGTGTTGCCCATGCCGCTGGCGATGAGACCGCCCAGGGGATACAGCGGTGCATTGTCCTGCGCGTGGAGAGCCGCCGCTATGATACCTCCCGGGAATCCCAGACTGTGACTGAGCAGGATGATGCAGTTGCAGTCGTTAGGTATCCCGAAGTCGGACCAGATCTGGGGCAGAATGTATTGGTGCAGCCGGCGGCCGGTCTCTCGGTAGAAGTCGGTTCCTTCTGGGACTGGAAGAATCGAACTCGTGCCCCCGTACGAGGGACGGTCGATCGCCACGAATGGTGCCCCGAAGGCTTCGCTGCTCAATTGAGCAGAGTAACCGGGGATGCCCTTGAAATACTGGCTGTCGTAGCATCCACCATGAAGTCCGACGATCAGAGGACGGTAACGTAGATGAGATGTTGATGCTAGGGGGGTTGAATGGAAGCCTGTTACGGTCCCATCGTTGGATAGCTTGATGCGAAATGGCTGCATGGGGTTGGAGTGACTGAATGATTTTAGGGAAATTTCGTCGGAATGGAGTATGGCTGGTTAGGGAGTCAGGTGATAGATTTCCGATGATACCAAGCGGACAACTTAATCACGTGTGAAAATATGCAGGATCGAGCAGCGCAAATCACACTCTCGGTAGATACGTGATTTCTACGGTTATTTTGACTGACACTCTTTGATCTCAGCTCCGATGCGCGGCAAGCCGAGGGCAAGAATGCATTCTCGGATGTACCGTACGGTGAATACTACTTGCTGTGCTGCGCGGATTCGCTGTGGAAGGGAATCGGTAGGCAGTCAGCATCGGCTTACCCCCGCTATCTCCGCGCCAGACCATCTTAACTCCGTGACTGTCTCATTATCGCCAGGAATTGAAACACAACAGTCGTCCTCGATTGCATCGAACCAGAAGCGGCGTCACTCTAAACTCCTAATTCCGCTTAGTCCACTTTAATCGTTCCACTATTGCTTGATATGGTCTTTTTTTCCTTGATGGGACGAGAACCACCCCGGTCACGTGTGCTCCGAGTTCTTCGACACTAATAGTAAAACCCAAACTTTGCTGAAGTAAGCAGAACTCATTGCCCAATAATGAATTTTTGTAAAGAGTAATTGATCCAGCTAGCACCTATCAGACACTCACTGATCCCTCAGGGATTATTGGTAGAATGTGGCGAGGCGAATGTGAGGACATGGGAAGGACCGAATCTAGGGCCACAAGGAAGGTAGGATTATAATTCACGCATCTCTGCAAACATGCCTTGTTGTCTCTGACAAACTCAAGGACAATTTCCAAGTCTGCATATATACCGATACTTTGTGAGACCCAGTGAAAGCCCATTTGACAAGCACAACTCAATAATCAAGACAATTGCATAGCTAGACGCCAGAGGGGGACCAATTAGCCCATTTCTAGTAACCCAGACATCGCTACGTCGTCTTTTTTCCTGGAGATATTCTTCTGGGGTGTCTTATTCTAGATTCATCATACAGTCAATATCATTGCGCCTGGCAGAGTCTGAGACTGGTATTACCAGGCAGCCCAGCAAGCTTCCACATACAAGCCAAATAGTACTCCTCACTATTCATTGCGGACATCACGCTGAATCTACATGCGCCCGACCGAAAGTCAAAACTCACTCACCCAATGCCATCACCTCAGGCCTCTCCCGTAATAGCTCTTTTCGTCAAAATGGCCGAGTCCTCATCCAACCGGTCCCACGTATGCGCATCGCGACAGGCCTGTCGACTCAGCCGGACGGCGCGTCTCGTCCGGGACCGCATCTCCGCCTCATATTCATCCAGCGCCTCTTTCGCCCCTCGGCCCTCCGTGTACACCTGTCGCAGCGCCTGTGAGAGGTAAAAGGCGTCTAGTAGTCCATGATTGGCGGCTTCGCCGCGATCTGCCCGAATCAGCATGATAACTTCAACACTCTTCAGCAACGACCTACACATCGTCATGGCATGGGCTGCATCCCCGGCCAGCGTGACCCGGCCGTCGCAGTTATCCCAGTCCAAACACTCCCAATCCGCTAGTTTAATCTCCAGCACCGGCGTTCCAGACGGGATCCCCTCCACGACCAACCGCAGGAACGGCACGAAGCCGACCGCCCGTCGTTTCATATTGTCGAGACGCTCTGCATCGGTTGCCGCCACTTCATCAGCCTCGCTGTTCACCGGCCACGACATGCAGATCTGCGCCCGATAGCGCTCCTCATCCGCGCTGCCCTGCGTGCCGTTGCTCTGGGGGGTCTCGAGCACGGAGAACCAGAAAAACACCCCCGTGCTGGGGTGGCAGCCCTGAAAGAGCAGCGGATCCATGGCCCGCAGGGGGCGGATCTCCTCCGGCGACAGATCCACGGCTACCCCCGTGAATCGGATGGGGAGGACGGAGTTGAGGTATGCGTCTGGGCGCAGCACGCGGCGCACCAGCGATCGACTGCCTTCGACCCCGATGACGAACCGTCCGGACACGCGCGTGCCGTCGGCTAGGACCAGGCACGGAGGAGCAGTCCCTTGGGTCTCGATGTCGACCACTTGCGCGTTCCACTGGACATGCTCCTCGATCCCGCGTAGCAAGGCGCCTCGCATCTTCTCCCGGTTGACGCGCCAGCGGGTGCTGGGGGGGATCTTGAACTTGGGTGCGCCGGTCGCCAGGTCGATGAAGAGGAAGTTCCCGTTGTCGTGCTGGGCAACTTGCGGGTCGACTTGTACAGCTTGGATGGCTTGTAATGTGTCTGCGGGGAGAATTTGCTGGATGTACTCCAGGGCCCAATGCAGGGTGATGGCCCATCCTTGCCCGCGAGCATGCGGCGATGCGTCCCGCTCGTAGATGCGGAAGGGGATGTTGTTCTAACCTGTGATTTAGTATGCAGTAAAAACCTGGCAGTGTGTAGGTACAGTAAGGTACCTTCTTGAGAGCCTGACCAAGCGTCAGCCCGACGATGCCTGCTCCGACAATCAAAATAGGGTCCATGGCGATGGGAAACTTGGCTGATGATTCTTACGAGCCACCTGGGTCCTGCCCCTTTGCCGCCCCCGCTTCATATACTACTAGTACTTAGTACCATCGGCTGGGCAATCTGTCCCGTATCTGCTGTTCCGTGTTGTCGGATAGCGTATCGTCGGACCGTCGCATAGATAAGCGCAAATGCGGGGGTGGCTTGGCTGCATCCATAATACGCAGCGAATTGCCGAGATGAGAGGGGAAGCCCCCAAGAACCTACCGTAGCCTATCATATCAGCTTGCGAGTGAGTATAGACGCGGAAATCGGCAATGGGTTCTGGTGCAGTACTTTTAAGCCCACGAGCACCCTGGTTCTCGTGAGTACTCCAACCCGCACAAACACCACAATCATCGCCATGTCTCATGAAGCCCTGAACCCCATCCACCCGGCCGTCTTGCCGCATCTCGACCCTGCCTTTGTCGACCTCTACAACAAACATGTCGCCCACACCCCGAGCGGGCCGATCGATCTCGCCGTCCTTCGATCCAAGTATTCTGTGCTGTACTCCTACGGCACCGGTCCCGCGCCGGAGCCTGCGCGTGTCTACGACACCACAATCCCGGGGCACCAGGGGGATCGGATCCCATGTCGGGTATATGAGCCCGACAGCCCTGGACCCTGGCCCGTTCACGTCGACTTCCACGGTGGCGGTGCGCTCTGCTCCCCTTCTCTCGTGAACATGTAGCACCGACATCTAACTACAATACAACAATACAAGCACAGGCTGGGGCCTCGGCGACCTCGACACCGAGTCGCACATCTGCAAGCACATCGCCGTGAAAGCCCAAGTGGCCGTCATCGACGTCGCCTACCGCCTGGTCCCCGAACACGCCTTCCCCATCGGCATCCAGGACTCCTTCGCCGCGCTGCAGCATCTGGCGTCGTCTGCCGGGCGCGCGCAGTTCCCGGGCCTCGACACCAGCCGGATCTCCCTCGGGGGCGTGTCTGCCGGGGGTAATATCGCCCTCATCCTCGCCCACCTGGCGCGCAACCACGGCATCCCCCTGCGGTTGGTGGCGGTGGGGACCCCCGTCATCGACGATATTTCCGTCTACGCGACGGCCGCCGACTCGCCGTTCGCGTCCATGCAGGCGATGGAGTTCGCGCCGACCCTGAACTGGGCGCGGTTGAAGTGGTTCGATGAGCTGAAGTGGCGGAGTCTCGGCGCGGAGGAGGCCGTGCGCAAGCAGCAGAGGGCCGAGGTGAAGTGGTATGCGAATGCGCTCAGTGCGCCGAGTTTCACCGGGCTGGCGCGCACGGTCATCTACACGGCGGGCTGTGATCCGCTGCGCGATGAGGGCGAGGCTTACGCCCGGAAGCTGATTGAGGGGGGCTGTGAGGTTACCGTGCGGCGGTTCGAGGGGGTGCCGCATCCGTTCATGCATATGGATAAAGGTGCGTTTCTTTCTTCTTGGTGGGTGGGATGCGTATCTGGGGTGCTCTGGCATGCTGACTTGGGGGCAATAGATCTCTGGCAGGCGCGGAAGTTCATTGATTTGGTTGCTGGGCATGTGAAGGCGGCGTTGCATGAGGTGAGGTAGTTTGCAGTCCAAACTAGGATTAATGATATAATAAGTTCAACAATGTATATCCCTAGTGAATCAATCTCTGTCTCTGTTCTTTGTGGGGCGACGAGAACAAGAATAAGGAGCAGAGGAAGCAGAAGAGATAGAGATCGAGATAGCAATGTCAATACCCCCCACAACAGCAGTAGTCAAGATGATAATATCAATCACCGGGATAATCATATGAGGAACTAGACAAGAAAAACCATCATCATTCTAGCGATAGTAAAGGTGATCTACCAGAGCTATTTGTCATACATGTTGACCTGCGGGGGTAACTATGACTCCAAATTCCCCTGAGCAGCTTCCATCGCATACAATTGCTCAACCAAAGGAACAATCGACTCGCGCAGCCCCCGAAACTGGACCCCGAGCATCTGCTTCACCTTCCCAGCATCGCAAGCGTAATGGGTGTCCCGTATCCGATGCCCCGGACTGCCCACCGCAACACGCTCCCGGGCAGCGGGAACGGCCTCGCGCAGTACATCCGCGATCTCCTGCGTGTCGTACGCCCCTTCGGTGACCAGGAACCGTTGGTGCGAGGGGAGGGTTGTCGTCAAGGCGCGAAGACAGGTCCCAGCCAGGTCCTGCACATCTACCCAGACTAGCAACCACAAAGAACCGAGGTCAGTACAGTTGTTGCACCATTTTGGTTTGTTGAGGGGAAAAGTAGGGCTTCTTACCCGGAGCCTTGGTCGGCGGGAGTGCCTCGCGTCCCCCCTGCGCCACCTCCCAGACAATGCGATTACTGGCGTTCAGCTGCTCCAGCGAGGGTATCGGATGAATCATTTCCCCAAACACCATTCCGGGACAGAGCGTCACGAGTTGGAAGTCCACCGCGTGCTCCTTCACGTATGTCCAAGCAGCCCGTTCGGCGAGGACCTTGGATGCGCGGTATGCGATGGCCTGAGTCGTCAACCATGCATCGACCAGAATAAGCAACGATGGACTGTACTTGAAGGATAAGAGTCAAGGAACATACCACATTCTCCGTGTCCCGCCCCTCCTCATACCCCAACGGACTCCAGTCCTCCTCTGTGTATATCCGTCCAGGCTGCAAGCCCTGCGCCGCGTCGTAGACAGCCGCGAACGAGGACATGATCACCAACTTCCGCACGGTCGGAAAACGGTGTGCCGCCTCACACGCAACGGTCGTGCCCTGGATCGCTGGGAGCAGGAGTCGCTGCTCGAATTGCCCCGGCTGCGCGTCGTAGGTGAAGGCCGAGGCGAGGTGCAGGATGGCGTCGCAGCCTGCCACCGCGGGAGCGAATTGCTGCAGGTCGGCGGGATCGGCCACCACGATGATTTCCAGCCGGTCCAGCGGGGCGACCCCGGCGGCGAGCAGGGCAGCTACAGTGGCGCTGGCTTTCTGGGGGGTGCGCACTGTGCCGCGGACGGAGTGGCCGGCGCGCAGCAGGGCGGCGATGCAGTGCGCGGCGATGAAGCCGTTGGCTCCGGTGACGAGGGTGAGCATCTGGATGATTGTAGAAGGATTAGGATTTATGTCGGGTTTAAGTCTGAACACAATTGGTGACAGAGGACAATATCCACTCAATTATCTATGTATTCCTACATGGCTTGCAATTATAAATAGTTCGCAGGGTGAAGTCCCCTTCCCCCGTCCAGCATCGAGCCTTTCCCGTCGCGTAGATTAGCAGGTGTCCCCCGCGCGGTTCAAGCGGAGAAGGAAGCCCCGGTTGTACATTGCCTCGGTCGCTGTGCTATATTTGATTCAATTTGTTTGGATTTTGGTTTGTTTAAACTTCTTGGTGAGATCTACTGTCATTATACATCTCGGGCTTTGCACCCTTAATGATAGATATCCATGGTGTTCATCAGAAACGTGAGTAGACAGAATATATGTGACCAGTATAAGGAAGATAGTTGCGCAACATATTTAAGAACAAGGAGAAGATATGATTACTAGACAATGTTGCTGGAGGTATCCTACTCACTCCAAAATATACCATGTCCAGTAGCTTACTAAGACACCGGGTGCAAGATTTGTCTTTTCCCCTATTTCCCTGTTCTGATATCTGTCGGAAGCCTACTATGTTGAAAAGTGTTTCATATCAGCATCGGATGTACGTCTTAGGTCTCGTATATGAAACTAGAATCACACAATGCCCAGTCCTTTATTACGATAAAGGCTACTGCCTCAGTTATAGTGTGCAGGTACTACCATCCTGCGAGCCAAACTCACCACCTCTCAGTGGCAACTCTAATACACATAGCGAAAGTCGATCCCCTCCCCCCCAGCCCCAACTCCAGCCCCCTCTAGACGTCGTTCCATGTGACTGCCTGCAGCCTGACCCAATCGCTCTGCCCGCGCGTTCCGACGGCCATATACCCCCCGCAGCGTGGTGGAGATGACAATGGCACCGGCATTGACGGCGACGATGGTGATCTTGGCGGGAATGTACCTGTCTCAATTAGCGAGGTCGGCATGAGAAACACCGCAAAGGATCAAAGATAAAAGACGAGGGTACAACGCACCCTGGAGCGTCGCGGGCTTGGAAGGTCTGCGGGCCGATGATGTTGGCGATGCTGAACCCGGCCGAGACGAGCGTACTCCCCGCCACCTGTCCTGTCGTCAGCTCTGCTGGTCCTGCAATAGTGCATTGCGTCTGGCGTACCTTCATACTGTAGCCCTTGTAGTTCGCACCGGTCCATGCGAAAATCAGAGCCAACGGCGCGACAGTCTGGATCTTGCTCAGCAACCCATCTCTACATGATCAGAACATTACCTTGCCCCGGGAAGACCAACCGTGTTCACCAGATATATACCCGCCAGACAACCGGCCTGATTCGAAGACGGCAGGAAAGACATCAAACACGCGCCCAGCAAGGTGGGTAGCAGGAGGAGATTGATCGCCAGCCACCGGGAGTAACCTCGGGCAATAGCCAGGGTCGATCCCATGGTCGCCACGATGCTGACCACCCCGGAGGGCATATTCAGCAGGGCGCTTTCCTTAGAGTTGTACCCGAACTCCTTGATCAGGATGGAGGAGAAGGTGGTGATGACCCCGCTGGGGATGGTGATCAGGATGGTCAGGAGGACGAGCAGGGCCGTTTGCACATCTCCGCATGCTTCCAGGAACGACCTCGGGCGCAGGCCCCTCTCGCCCTCCGTGCCACCGACCTGCTCCTGTTGCAGCCGCTGTGCCACGCGCTCCTTGTCGCTGGAGCTCAGAAACCCCGCCGCGGCCGGAGTGGCCGGGAGTACGAGGAGGACTAGCAGCGCCGCGAGAATGTTCACTCCCCCAATAGCCACGAACATGATCCGCCACCCGTGGAAGGCGAGCGTGGGCGCGGTATGCTGCGCCGCGAAGGAGATCAGCCCGCCGAGTATCTGGCCGGTGCCCAGGCCGCAGTACCAGAGACCGTATCGCGGAGTCGACTCGGCGCGCGTGTACCACATGCTGGTGTACATTGTCAGAGCGGGGGCTGTAGGCATGGTAACAGATGAGCAATGGACTCAGATACATTAGATACGAATGGGGAATGATTTCTGACGCACCAATGACCGCCTCCAGCGCACCGAGAAGCACTCGCAGCGACATCATCCCGGCGAAGTTCTGCGCCGCGGCCGAACAGCACAAGAGAATTCCCCAGCAGAGAATATTGACCCCGAGAACCTTGGTAACCGGGTATCGTTGCAGCAGGAAGCCTGCTTATGGTCAGTGACGGATACACGGCAGCGGCAGCAGCAGCAGCAGCAGAGTAGGGCAGCAGACCTTGGGGAATCTCAGCGACCGCATAAGCGATGAAGAACCCCGTAGCCAGCCAGGAGAAGTCATTGCCCTGCATCCCGAGATCATCCTGCATCCCCATCACGTTGGCATACTAGCCCCATCAGCCATCAGCAACTGGTCTCCCGACGAGACCACCAGAGTGCACATACATTCAAAGCCACCTTGTCCAGGAACTGCAGCAGGTAGGTCAAGAACATGGTCGGCAGGATGCGCCAGTCGATCCGACGCAACAAGGCTAAGTCATCGTGCAGATCGCCGAGGCCGTAGTCGACGGCGGCCAGCTTTTCCTCTTTGGTGTCTGTCATGGTGTATGCAGCGATGGTAGCAGCATCGGAGGACAAAGAGCGCGGATGGCATGATGAAGGTGTTTAATAAAGGTCTATTGTAGCTACTGTAGTATTGCAACGAGGTATCGATGCTGGCTGTCACTGGAGGCAACCAGGGCGATAAGCTTCCGACTAGTCCTGCGGCCGTCGCATAGATAATTAAACCACCAGATACGAGCCGTCGGCTGCACGATAAGAGTCGGATGCATGATCCATTCTTTCGAAAATGCCCAGGATACATTTATAGCACAACCTCGAACTCGACGATGAGGCATAAGACAAACTTCAGCGGTAACCATTATTGAAATATTGATCTGTACACTCAGAATGCCCTCCCGCACTGACTCCCCGCTGAACATTGCCATCATCGGCGCTGGCCTCGGTGGCCTCAGCGCAGCCGTGGCGTTACGTCGTCAGGGACACCACGTCACGGTGTACGAGCGATATGACTTCGCTGGGGAAGTGGGCGCCTCGCTGAGCGCCGCCTCCAATGGATCCCGCTTCCTCGAGCAATGGGGGGTGGATGTCAAAGCTGCGAAGCCGGTCAGTCCCCCCTGCTCTGGCATCAGCCAGTACTCATCGCGAGACACAGGTGATCCTCAAGAAACTCATCATGCACGACTGGACGACCGGAGAAGTGCAGAAAGAATACGGTCTGGGGGACTACAAGGCCAAGTTTGGCACGGTCCGTCGGGCATTCACCCCCACATAGCCCTAATGCCACTGACATGGACCCCATCAGGAGTACAACAACTTCCACCGGATTGACATCCACCAACAATTGCTCCGCTCCGCCTTTGACGAGCCGGGAGACGGTCCCCAGTGCGTGTTGAAAGTAAATCACAAGGCCGTGGCGCTGGACGCGGAAGCCGGTCGCATCGAGTTCGAGAATGGCGAGACGGCGTCGGCGGACCTCATCGTCGCTGCAGATGGCATTCGCGTACGCACCCAAGCTCTGGCGCTTGTACCCTAGGCTCTTAAACATTAACAATTGACGTCAAATCCTTAATGTAGTCCGAGAGCCGCCTCCAGATGGGCATCACCCCCGACTTCGTCATGTCGACCTCGTGCTGCTACCGCTGCATCATCGGCGCCGACAAGCTGCGCCGCCTCGGGCTGGACGACTACATCGACAACGCGGCGATTGAGTACTGGGGCGGCATCGGCATCAACAAGATCGTCATGTCTCCCTGCAGCGATGGCGACGTCGTGAGCTGCTACTGCTTCTACCCGGCCGAGCACAACAACCTCCGCGACGATGGCTGGAACATCTCCGCCACCCCGGAGCAGCTGGTGGCCACGTTTCCGGGGCTGGATGAGCGAATGCAGCGGTTGCTGATCAATGCTGAGGATATTAAGATGTGGCGCTGTAGGCCCCCCCCCCCCCCCCCCTACCCCTTCGCTCCATCAGGCTGAAGAAAGCCGTCGGCTGATCTCGAATAGTGTACCGCCACCAGCCGTACCCCTACTGGGTCAAGGGCAAGGTCTGCCTGCTGGGCGACGCCGCCCACCCGATGATGCCCGACCAGTCGCAGGGCTCGTGCATGGCCTTCGAGGACGCGGGCGCCCTGGGGCTGATCTTCCACCGCACTTTCGCCGAGGAGTACAGCGTGGCCGAGGGACTGCAGCTGTACGAGCAACTGCGCAAGCCGCGGGCCACGCACATCCAAGCCGCCAGCTATCGGGCCCGCGAGGACCTCAACGAGCGCATCGGCTGGAGCTCGTCCGCCGACCGGCCGGGGAAGTTGACGATCGAGGAGGTTTGTGGGTATAACATGCAGGTGCACCTGGAGGAGCTCAAGGGCAGTAGATAGACGGGGGTAATATGTACATACCAAGTTTCGACTTCGTACCAATTATGAAAAGAAAAAAAAAACTAAACAAGGTGCATTCAAGGTGTGCTGTAACTAAGTTAACATGAAGTTCAATCCAGGCTATCAAACGAACACCATCCCCGGAAACAGACTATAGCGAACGCTGGCCCAATTTGCGTCCGCCCGGTCGTCCGCCCAGACGGCTTCGAGCAACTGCCGCGCTTGGAGGATATGCCCCCAGCCCAACGTGTTCTCCATCACCATCAGGCGCTCCTTGATGCCCATCCGTCGCTCCATGCTGCGGCTGCTGGCCCCCGCGATCACCAGCGGGAAGAGCAGACTGCCCTCGACGGGGCTGCCGTAGGGGATGCTCCGCCCCGCCGCTACAATGCCCGCGACGGCCTGCTCGACCTCGGCGTGGTGCGGATCGTAGCCGTCGACGATCTGATGCAGGCGTAGGCGGATTGCCCACTCGAAGGCCTGCGTGGCCAGATGGTCCACTTCGTTGTCTGGGCGGACTGCTTCGGATTCCCGGCGCCAGGTGTCCAGGCCGGCGCGGACGTGCGCAGCGGCCGTTCGGAAGCCGATCTCCGAGAGGTCGTCGATGCGTCGGCTGCGGTGCGCTGCTAAAAGATTAACCCGGCCGAGGGACTCCAGTAAGCTCGTGGGGAGTCCGGATATCGTGTCCCCTGATGGTGATGATGTGCTGGCGGCGGCGGGAAGGTAGGACGGGAGAGAGGATCCCAATGTGAGGTCGGTCAGGCGCTCCCCTGCCCGAAGTAGCGGGGGCTTGCACCGGGAGATGGTGGACATGGCGTCTAGGTAGTGGAACAGCTGGAGACAAAATGTCCCTTCGCTGGTTGAGGCCAGCCGGTGCCGGTCAATCGCGCCGAGGAGGCGCCCGGCTGCTTTGAGGTGCCATTTCCAGGCGCGAGAAGTGCCCTCGAACAGCTCCGTGAGACACAGTAGGAGGATTGAGGTGCAGGCCTCGAGGAAGGATTGTCGATTCGGTCGACGGCTGAGCAGGTTGTTGACTTGCGACAGCGCTGTTATGGTCAGTGGCCTTTTTACAGTCGATACATCATGGAGAATTGAGCTTAGGTGTTGCTGTGTTCAGAACAGACTTACCCCGTCCTTGTCGCGTTAGGGCTCGGTTCCAGATTTGGGGGTAGACGCGCCGCCAGTGGCAGCCACTCAGCCCTAAGAGGGCGCTGGTGAGAGTCTCCGAGGCGGCAGCCATGGGCAGCAGAGTCGCCAGAAATGGGTTGGCGGTGGAGTTCGTCGTGGACCGTGACAGGGCTCGGGCCACAATTTGGACATAGTGGTTGAAGAGGCAGCGATCGTCGTCATTGTGCAGATGGGCATTGAGCCGGCTGTCTGGGGGTGGCGAGACGGGTCCGAGGATCATCTCCACATCGATCCAGGACGGCGAAAAGGGCAATATCGGATCATCGCCGACGGATGATAAGAGATGATCGGAAGGAGAGATCGGATCGAGCTCTGGGGTTGGATCCGACACGGAAGACAGGATGAGGTCGTGCGCAGCTGCGGATAACGGCATTTCAGGCGGCGAGGGCAGCGGGGAGACGATCACCGGTGGCGGAGACCGTGCCCTGGGGGTATTCCAATAACATGGTAGGTTCAATCGACGACAGTCGCTACATCGAGGTCGTTTCTCATCGCATTTCTTCTTCCTATTGGCTGACAGTCAGCGAGTGTGCATGCTCATGCAGTCAATTGCGTCCTCATGGATCCCTTTACCGCGCTTTGCAGGAGACACATCCGTCCCGGGACCGAGAGGCTCTGGGCCGGCGATTCGCGAGCGTCTGGGCTTCTGCATTCGGTCTGCCAGGCTGTTGGGGCTCACAAATATGACCAAGGCCTGGCTAGTCAGTATTGGAATACCCCGGACGCTGAAGAAGTGCAAGCATACGTGCGCAGCGGGAGCACGGCGAGGTGCCATCACAGCGTTGTTTCTATGCCAAGTCAGCCCAAGATCAGTCTCAGATGGAGGCAGTAAGGGGGTGGGGACTCACAATCACTGCGCACCGAGCGCAGACACGACCCGAGGCAGTCATGGTATCAAAGCATCTAGGACAGAGAGGAAGCGACGGAGGAGAGAAGATGCGTCGTAGGGGTTATCAGTTATCAGGGACGCGACGGGGAGGGGTTCGATAAGCGGTAGAGTCAACGAATCGGATTTCAGTCCACTCGGTAGTGAGTTCTACTGATAACCGAGGCGGGGAGAAGTCTCTATCTCGTAGCTAGCAGGAAATCAGTGCACCTGCAAATCAGTGGCACTGTTTATCGGTTGATAGGTAACTGGACTTTACTCCGATTCACGCTAATCCAGGCAAGGTTAGGTGGGACTTCTCTCCGGTCTGGAATGCGGGGAAGTAAAAGCCACGTTGACATCACAGCTTGAATCACTTTGGTTCTCTTCAACGGCAATGGAGCCCTATGCCCCAGCAGAGAGGGGTGAGATAAATACCTGGGTTAACCAGTTGAGCAACTCTTGATTTAAACCGCGGGGGAACGAATCCCACACAGCGGGTGAGGGTATGGTTGGTGGTTCAAGAGTGAGGCTCTATAACGACATTCAGTTCTCTTCTCTCTCCGCCACCCACGGTACAATCAGCTTTCTTCACGCCGTAGTCATGCCTGGCTTGCGCTGTGGATAGGACCATCACAGGTGTAGTTAAGTCACGTGACAGATACCGCCTGCTGATGGTATCACAACTAAACATCAATGAGAGTGACAAGATTTCTAGCTGAGCAAAGGTCATAAACTAAGGTAACTTCTAACTCAGATCTACTTGCACCAATGACACAACTATATCTGTAAGATCCAATGCGACTGTCCTCCTCTTCCAAGAGCATCACTGTTTCTCATTCACTCTAGAAGAAGCACAGGCCCACAACAATATCAGGCGACGTTTTGAGAAGAGCTATAGCTCTACCGTTCAAAGCTACAGTTTCAATGTCAATCACATGACGGGATTAAAATATATACAGCATGTCCGGAGCGAGAAACCCAAACCCTCGTTTTAGACTGGCTCTGGTGGCAAGACATAGTTGGTAGGACTCGAAAGGTGGGTAGTATACGATATCTAGTTCACTCACACTCAGTAGACGGTTCTGAGTGAGTTGAAATCCATATTACTACCATCCTCCTACACCGTTCGCCGCACATAAGCAGTGGACATCAATGTTAGTGTCGAAGTTCACATACTTACAGCATCAGATTCAGGTAACATACTCTTACACTACGAGAACCGACCGAGGCGGTCTAGTGCAACATATCTAGATCCAAACAGTAGCATCCTTCAAACTCGGTAGAGATGCGACTCCGAGCCCAACTCCGTGACTACCACGAAGCTGGAGGAGACAAACAATCCAGACAAGTGGGGCACGGAGCATCTTTGGAGAGTCAATCAAAATTCTAACTATAGTAGAAGTGGAAATGATAAGCCTACTCTAATCAGCCTTGGCTATATTAGTACGATGCATTACTGAAGCTTCGCTTTCAACAGTCTTGTATCGAGCTTGTCACGAGCACTGAGCCAAAGCCGGCCACGATCCAGTCCATGCGCGCCAATGCCTCTTCCGATGTTAGTTCCGATATTGACCTAGAAGAGCCGCTACAGAGCACATGTAATGAGGCTGTGCTAGCATCTGTTGAATGACGGTGTACAACCATTGCCCCTCTGTCATCATCTTGGTAATCATGGGGCTGGAAATCGACCTGGTGGGTCGGCAGGTGTGTACTCATGTGCAGTACAAGCATCGGGCTAGACTCTCAATCCCTGTTCCAGCTACTCTTTAAGCCGCAACTGACAATTTTCTGGTCCCAGGAATTCGGGGCTGGCAAGGCTGAGGATATCGAATGCTCCATGCCCGGGGCGACACAGATAGTTCTGAACGCCGCATTTAAGATCCACGCGGCCGCTTCGATCGCGCAACGGGGGGATTATGCTTAAGCTGCGATGATTCCTTTCCGGCTCCATGGTGCCTTGACTGAAGATTGTAATCCTTTGTCTTGAAGGAGGAAGATGAGAACCCGCAGCACGGACAGGATGCCATTGAGGCTACTGACTCGCATGGTGCCATGCGGTCCCATTGTGGCGGGGCTCAGCACTTCAGCGGCATTGGCCCCCACGCCCCACTCACTGCGCAGGGGCGTATTCTTGTATTGTGGTATTGTGGTATTGCTCTATTTTGTCTTATCGAATTAATGTTCGTTGTCCTTTTCTTTAAGCCTAAAGTATCCTGCGGCCCACGACTAGTACGGTATGCTGGCTGGCAAGGCGTTCGGGGTGATAATATGCATTTAGGGCAAGCTTATAACTGTCTCATCGGCTCCGCCCACTGCCCTCACCCAGAGATAATCAAAAAGATCCGAACTCTCCCCGACCATGTCACCTCCAACAAACAGCTATGCGTTGCACCGCAACTACCACTCCTCAGCTCGGTAAAGAACAACCCCACGGTCGGCTGGGCCCCCCGGGAGGGAGGGAAATCAAAACTAACCCAACACACCCAGGTTAAACGCCCAGAACCACCTCTGGAAGGATGCGCTGGGCTACAGCCTGCATCCGTGCATCGGATTGACCGGCGACTCGGCCCCGCGCATCGCCGACATCGGCACGGGCACGGGCATCTGGATGATGGACGTGAAGCGCGAGTATCCCGCCGCGCAGATCGACGGCTTCGACATCTCCTTCGCCCAATGTCCGCCGCCGGAATGGCTGCCGGATGGCGTGCGGCTGCGCGAGCTGGACCTCTATGAGCCGCTGCCCGCCGAGCTGGAGGGGATCTACGACGTCGTGCATCTGCGGCTGTTTTTTGTGGTGATCCGCAACGATGACCCGGGTCCAGTGCTGCGGAATATGCTACGCATGCTGAGTGAGTCTTGCCTGTTTTTCGCTTGTTTTGCTTCCTTTCATGGTCTCTTTCTAACTTTCCGGTTACGAAACGAAAGAGCCCGGTGGGTGGCTGCAATGGTCGGAACACAACTACGAGTCGTGGTCGGTGCAGTCGGTGGGCGGCCGGGAGACCCCCGCCTTGGACGAGATGATGAACCTGATGAAACAAACGGGTTTGGGACGGTAAGCAATGGACCACGGACGCATAACTAGACACCCTTTCGGATCAATACTAATGAAACGGCACGAATAGCTGGGTGCCCGGCCTTCCCGATCTCTTCGCGCAACATGGGATGGTGGATGTGCGCAAGGCACTGCATCCGTGCAGCCCGCACAGCCGCGTCTATTGGAGCCAGCTCCAGTTCAACTCCAACGAGGAATACAGCTATCTGGCCATGGATAACAGTACAGCGGATGCGGCCGGGCCGCGTCTGCGCACCCTTATCGGACAGGCTGCCGACGAGTGTCGCCAGGGGGCGGGTTTCGACTTTACCATTGAGGTGGCGTTGGGCCGGAAGTCCGTGGGGGAAAGGCAGTTAATATAATATCGAACCAATAATATAGGATCTGTCTGCACGTTTAGCAGGTTTAGAATGAGCACTAGTCTTCCTAGGGCGTAAGAATTGTAGCGTGAGACTATAGTAAGCGGACTATAGCGACTAGCTTATAGCGTGAAGAAGCTAGCACCACACTGGGCACAACATCGAGCACAGTGGGGTCAGGCCAGCCTAACGAGAATGGGGTAAAGGCCGGAGGGGCACGAAACTCAGAGGATTAGATTCAACAATTGGAGACAACGGTCGCGAAAGGCTGGAACTTGCGAGTGGTCGAAGCGGCCCCCAAAAACGTCGCCATGATATACAAAAAGTGTAGTTAGGGCCGCGTTGATAAGGCTGGCGTATCGCCTCATTTCTACTTACCCCTCCCCCTCTCCGAATTCCCATCAGCTGCAAGCCTTCCCTGGTGTCACTTTTGACAGAAACCATCATGACTAAAGAGACCGCCAGTCCGATGCTGGCGCTAGCCCGTCAACTCGAGGCTGCGACCAACACCCCCGGCCAGCTTCCCCCCGCCAGCGATGCGCTACACTCGCGACTACTTGCCGCGACGCGTAATCTCCTGACCAGCCTGGAAACCCCCGAGAGCCAATTGATGCATCTGGCCAAGGCAGTACGTTTTTCGATTCTCCTCTGCTCGATTTCCGGGCGCTAGGTCTAAACTCGCCAGCCTGTGGCGCATGGGGTGTTACGCGCCGCCCTGCGCATCCGACTGTTCGAGCGCTTCGACGAGGGCCCTCCCAGCACCCCGGATCTGGCGCAACGCTGCGGCATTGATGTCGCGCTTCTTAGTAGGTGATGGCGTGCGCATGATAACTCCAAAGATCTTGGTCGGACTAATCATCGGGGCGCGACAGTGCGTCTCATGCGAACCCTGGCCGCCATCGGCATCTTCACCGAACCCAGCCCGGGGGTCTACGCCCATACCTTACAATCGCAAACGCTGCGCCAGCCCCAACACCGGGCCGTGATCCAGGGCATGTGTGTGATCATACCCGTATCTGGAAGTTTGCCGCCCACCGTGCTAATGTAACCGATCGACCGCAGGGCCGAGACCGCGACGTTGATGACGGCGCTCCCCGACTTCCTCGAGACCCACAAATGGCAGAACCCCGTCGATGCGCAGCCCACCCTGTTCGGATTCGCCCACCAAACCGACCAGACCATGTTCGAGTGGCTGGAGTCGCAGCCCGAGCAGCGCGCCATCTTCGCCGCCTTCCAATCCAGCACCGCCGCCCTCGCCGTGTGCCAGCTGCAGCCCTTCCTCCGCAGCCTGCTCAGTGCGCCCCCGGAGGATCCTTCGAATGATGAAACCAGAGAAGTCACGCTCGTCGACGTCGGAGGCGGCCGAGGCGCCGTGCTCCGCCAAGTCAGCGACGAGCTGGATCCGCCGCCGCGCGGTCGCATCGTGCTGCAGGACCTGCCCCAGGTCTTGGAGGGGGTGGACGGCGGCGACCGCGTCGAGGTGATGCCCTACAACTTCCTCCAGCCCCAGCCCGTTCACGGTATGTCTGCTTCAATTCAAAGTGCGCTTCGTCTGCTGCTCTGTCCCCTGCTTATCGTCTACGGATTCTTCAAGGAGCCCGAACTTACCTCTTCCGTCACATCTTCCACAATTGGAGCGATGGGGTGGTCGCGACCATTCTGCAGAACACCGTGGCAGCGATGGCTCCGTCCTCGCGGCTGGTCATTGTCGACCTGGTGCTCCCGGACGGAGGAGGCGCGTCCCCCTACGCGGCGTTTTTGGATGTGAGCATGATGGCATTTGGAGGCATGGAGCGCACCGAGGCGCAGTGGCGGGGGATATTAGGGCGAGCCGGGCTGCAGGTGCGCCGCATTGAGCCGTTGGATGCGCTGACCCCGGGGTCGGACCAGGTCATTGAGGCGGTGCTGGCTTGATGAATGCTATCTACACGATTGAAATAAAATTGGAACCAAAAATTTGAGGCGTGATCGGAGCATTCCATCATGTGGATTGAGCTTCTTCTCTGCATGTACAGAGTATATTCTCTTCAATATGGTACATCGATGCTGTCGCCACGATTAAGCCTTCCCTCACGCTAGATTCTGCTTCACAAAGGCAGCCACCGGGGCGGGATCGACCAGCCACGGGGAATGGCCCGTAGCGACAGTATCTGTGGTAATCTGAGCGCCCTTGGCGCGGGCCTTGTCCACCATCAACTGCTGCACGAAGAGGGGGATGGCGCGGTCGTGCTCGCACAGGAGGTAGGCGCTCGGAATCTGGGTGTAGGCGGTGCTGCGGGCGGGCGAGTTCTTGGTCGCCCAGGCGTGCGGACGCAGCGTCTGCGCCCACTTCTCGCCGTCAGGGACGTCGTGGAAGAAGAGGCTGTAGGGGTCGACGGCGCTGACGGTGCCGTTGGCCTCCTGCGGCGGGGGTTAGCATCCGATCGGATCGGAGGGACGATATAATCGACTCACATCGCGGTCGTACCAGTCCGGAGGGACCCCTCCAAATGCCCCAATCAGACTCTCGCCGACCTCCGGGATGAACGCCGAGATAAAGATCAACTTTTTCACGCCGCCCGTCGCGCCGGCGGCTTGTCGTTCGGCCGTGCTGAGCCCGTCCAGCGCGCTGTTCACGGGCAACCCCGACCAACTGTGGGAGATGACCACCACCTCTTTCCCGGCATTGGCCTCCTGTTCGACCAGGTCACGGAGTGTGTCGATGTCGGGCTGCAGGTCTTGCACGGTGGTGGCCTGCTGGATGGAGGGGAAGGCGACGAGATGGGTGGTGTGGTCGGGGAACTGGGCGGCCAGGGGCTCAAAAGCCGTGGGCGGATACCAGGCCCCCGGGCAGAAAATCAAGGTGGGATTCGAGGCAGCCATGTTGAGGCCGTGAGTTCAGACAGTGGAATTGAGAGCAGGATGCAAGTAGTGAGGAAGAGGATGAGGATGACGAGGAGGATGAGAATGCTGGCGCTGGTGCAGTGGGCGGCGGGCATTAAGTAAGTTAAGCAAGTAGGGCTAAATCAATGGCCCGCCAGTCAGCGGCCAGTCAGTCAACGTGACTGTTGGCAAGCCAACCACCACGTGTCTTGCACTTCTCGCTGCACATCCCTGCACAGTGCATCAAATTAGTTTAATTAATTAGTTAACGCTATTGAACGCACATTCACTTGTGAGTCCGCCTTGGCCCCAACCATGGGTCCAATTGGGTCCAACTGGGCCCATTGAGGGGCTCCGTTCCGTGCCGTGCCATTCGCGGGTCTGTCCGACTTGACCGGATTCCCTCTAACGCAGAAACCCTTAGCTGCAGGGGCCAGTCCGTCACTGCAATTCAAGTCTGTTGGACTGACTTATCCTGAGTAACTTGGGGGCCGGACAACAAGGCGAACAATCAGGGCCCACTATTGGTGCATTGAGGGGGCCGAAGTCAGAGACCCCGGTAATCTGCACATCAGACAATGGAACGTGGGAAGACAGGGTAAGATAGTAGGTAGGTAGACATTCTGCACATTTTCCCTCCCCCCCCATCTTTTGCTTATCCCCCCCCTCTCCTCTCCCATCTCCTCTCTCTTTCTCTTCTCTTTGCATTCTGTGGTCTGTTCAACTTTCGGTACTTTCTGTGCCTTGGTCACCTGGGTCATTTTGGTCGTCTTGACCACCACGACCACCATGACCACTGCCTCGCTCAACCAGAGCGCCCAGAGCCAGACCCTGGGCGCCATCATCCCCTTTGCCGTCCTATCCATTATCGCCGTTGTTCTCCGTTTGCTGGCCAAATCTCTGACCCGGCTGCGATATGGCCTGGATGACTATTTAATAATTGTGGGATTGGCCTGCTCGCTGGGTTGCTTCAGTCTTTCCACCATCAGTCGGTTGCCCTCTTATTTACGATTATTCTGGAACCCTAGATGTGCCCTGGATACTGACAAGCAGGACACAGTGGTTGCATTGGGATCGGGTCGTCACCTGGCGGTCGTGCCCACAGGGAACATCCACAAGTACCTCAAGGTTCGTTTATGCGCCTCTTCACTCTCTATCCTGCTCGCGTGCAGTGCAGTCACTCATCCCTTTTCGGGCGCATCCGCGTGTAGTGCATGTATGCCTATCAGATGATCTACACCGCGACCATCCTCTCCGTCAAACTGTCCATCCTCACCTACTACGTCCGCATCTTCCAGATCCGCCCCTTCCGCATCGCCGTCTATGTCGTCGGCAGTCTGGTCGTCGCCTGGGCCGTCATTGTGTGGTTCATCTCCATTTTCTCCTGCCGCCCGCTGAACGGCTTCTGGGACAAGTCGGTGCCGGCCACCTGCGTCAGCAGCAAGGCCTTCTACGTCGGAAACGCGGTCCCCAACATCTGCACCGATGTGATGATCTTGATCCTGCCCCTGCGCATGGTCTGGGGGCTGCAGACCACCCGCATCCAGAAGGTCACTCTGTCGGCTATCTTTCTCCTGGGGGGCTTGTGGGTTCCCTCCCCCGTGTTTTGCTGCTTCGAAGTGGAACTCAATGCTAACGAATCGGTCGACTAGTGTGGTGGTATGCAGTTGCATTCGACTATCCACCCAGTTCAAAGTCGATGACCCGGATTTCACCTGTAAGTCTAGTTCTGGTGGTCGCAAAGAGGGGAAAAAAGAGAACCACGGGACGGTAGTCGCTTACGCACCACCCTACAGGGGCCATGAACGGCACCGTGATCTGGACCTCGCTGGAGGTCTCCTTTGGCGTCATCTCCGCCTGCCTGCCCACCATGCGTCCCATCGTCCGCTGGGCAATGCGAAAATTGAACATCGAAGCCACAGACACGTCCAAATCCTCCCAGCGCTATTTCCCCTCCAACCACGTCACCGCGCGGGGATTCGAGACGCTGTCCGGGTCAGGGGGCGAGCCCCAGACGCATCAATTACACACCACCGCAGTGCGCAGTAACAGTCGGACGGAGAGCAATAATGGAGAGGAGCTGTTGCTGGGGCAGATTCAGGTCAAAAATGAGGTCCGATTCGAGGCCGAGTCGGTATAGCGCTGGCGGAGTTAAGTGTGTTTCTGTGTATTGTAGATATTTTGCATCATGTGGGATCTAAGGGCGCTCTGGTCTGCTTTCTCTATTGACACTGTAGTCTGTTCACGCGTAAGCGGGATGGTGGACTAAGTTGCAGACGTTTCTGACGCCCTCAGCGGCTCCGTAGACCTTCCGCCCGGAGAGGCGTGTCAACCCGCATACTAGCTATATTAATGGCTCCCATTATATGATGCCAATGGGATAGGAGTGGGGCAATGAATGTGGCTTTGAGCCGCCTGATAAAAGCTGGCCCCTCTTCTGTTAGCCCACGGCCTATAAATTGCTCAACACCCCCCCCTTCCTCTCCCCCCTCAGTATCTCTTCGTAGTCAATCAATTGCCTCAATTAGGCTCCATCCTCACTCTGTTCCATTGTGATCTGCACATCACATACCTTTACTACTTCCGTTCCTCCCATGGCCCTCCCTGTATCTCACTACTTCTCGCAGCGATGGCACACGACCCCGCTGCCGCGCCTGATCGATGAACTCGCCGAACTTTGTCCGAACCACCCTATGGTCTCCCTACCGCGCAACAAGGACCGGCCAGATGAAGGATACCGTGACTACAGCCTTCAGGAGTTCTCCAGTGCGGTGAATCGCGCCGCGTGGTGGATTGAGCAGCACCTGGGACGCGCTCCGACCCGCTGGGCCACCCTGCATTATGTGGCTCCCCAAGACCTGTCGTACTTCATTATCACGTTGGCCGCAGTTAAAACAGGATATCAGGTAAGCTGACACAGACGCAGACATATCTTCTCGCTAGGGCACATCTTCGGAAATCACCAACTCTAACGGCCCACGCAGACCCTGACTTGTCACCCCAGCGCAGACGTCGACACGCATCTGTCGCTCATGGAGCACACTGACTGCCAGCTCCTGCTGTATCCCCCCAGCCCACACACGTCGGCGATGCAGAAGGTCAACGCCATTCGGGCCTTCAAGTCCGGGCTGACCGCTCTCGTCACCCCACCGCTGGAGGAGTGGCTGGCCGCCGAGGGCGCCCCGACTCCCGTGTACGCCTTCACGCCAACATTGGCAGAAGTGCTGCACGATCCCTTCACCATCATTCACAGCTCGGCCTCGACGGGGCCTGCCAAGCCCATAGTCTTCACCCATGCCACTGTCTACCTGCAGCCGGTGGGGTTTCAGAAGCTGCTGGATCCCAGTCTGATCAACTACGAGCAGTGGCGCGGCCAGCGCGTCGGCGTGCTGACGCCCCTCTCCATCGCCGCGGGCCTGTTCCCCTTCCTAGGCATGAACTTCTGCTTCGATCTGACCTTGGTGCTGCCCGGCGTGACAACTGGGCCTGGTCCTTCCATGACCGCAACGCTGATGGACCAGCTTCTACAACACGGCGACGTCTTTGCCTGTATTACGGGACCCAAGACCCTCCCCGAGACGTGCGCTAACCCGGCCTACGCCGACAACTTACGCCGCGTGCGCCAGCTCGCCATCGTCGGGGCTCCCTGCCCGCCGTACCTGGCCTCCCAGGTCACCGCGCACACCCAGATCACCCACATCTACGGCTCGTCCGAGTCTGGCACACTGCCCGCCGAGGTGCTGCCCGACCCGGCCGACTGGGCCTATTTGAAGCTGAGTCCAGATGTGCCGCACGAGTACCGCCCCGTGTGCGGGCCCTACCACGAGCTGGTGCTGTTGCGACGTCCCGACGCGCCCGCCCAGCCCGTCTTCGCCATGTTCCGCGACTGTGACGAGTATCCCATGGGCGACCTGTTCGCCCGGCATCCCTCGCAACCAGATTACTGGCGCTACTGTGGCCGCCGCGCGGATCTCGTGGGCTCTCCGCCGCGTCGCTTCCTGCCCCGCGACATGGAGTGGGTGCTGGAGGCCCATCCCGCCGTCCGCTGGGCCCTAATTGCCGAGGAGCGCCACGGTGGCCTTGCCCTGCTGCTGGACCTCCACCCCGACGCGCAACGTGTGTGTCCTCCGACTACAGATATCTGGGACACTCTCCAGCTGCTGCTCGACCAGGCCAACGCGCTGTGTCCCATCCCCGCCGCCCTCCGCCGAGATCTTGTCGTCTTCACCGACCCGTCCCGGCCCCTGCCACTCAGCGTCAAAGGGAACCCGCAGCGCGCCCGCTCTCTCGAGCTCTACCGGTCGGATATCGAGGCCGTGTTCGGTTCGGATGAGAGTCATTACTAAATGGTGCTCTCCCGGCACTCCTGCGATGTGTGCTGTGTAACCGACCAGGGGTGTGTGTGGTATTAGGCCTTTTCATCCCCGCAGGAATGCACGAAATTGGCCTATGCGTCCTTGCGTCTTGCTCCTCTGGGTGCCATAATGCAAAGTTGTAGAAGAGATGCGGATGCCCTGGCGCTCCTCAATGGTGATACGATTCAAGTACTTTAGACTGGAAAATGACAACATACTTCCACTATCGCTCCATCTCTTCTCAGCTCAATGAACGCGGGTGGCCATTTCCTGCATTTGGCGGAACTCATCTCCGCTCTCATGGCGTAGGGCATTGCAGTCAGGGGTATCTCGTCTTCGTTCATGGTAGCTCTTCTTGTACCCCAACAACAATCTCATAGTATCTATTATTTCCGCCCCGCATTGGGGTAGCTTGAAGGTAACCTTGATTACCCATCCACAAGCTTCTATATATGGCGACTACTTTATCCTAGTCTAAGCTGTGCTTCTTTCGAGCAAAATTCTGCCGGAACCGGGCGTTCCACGAGTCTCTCTTGCTGCTACTCCCCAGGAACACGACGCAATACCGTGCTCTTCGAAGACACATCTAACACTATCAGTACAGCGCAGATTTCAGGCGGCAGATATGCTTCAGGCTGCAACGTATCTTCATTGTTAACCTTAGCTACTATGGCCCTGCTGAGTCCTACAGCTACTGATTTTCCCAAGCATACAAGCAGACCATACAACCTATGCTCGCTGTAGACACCGTAACGCTCTGCCCGACTCATCCAACAGTCCAATTTCCTCCCTCCGGTTCTAGAAAGCCGGATTGGCGTTCGAGAGCAGTTGCACGAAGTAGGCCTGCCACCACCCCCTCCGTTAGTCCACTACACCCAATCGAGACGTTGAAAACATAGGACACATACCTGGAACCAGGTCCCCGCCTCCGGCGCCGGCTGCAAGGCATCGCTGTACCCGCAGTGGGCGTCATAGCGGGTCGCTGAGCTATCGGAGGTGCCGTCGCTCTCGCCGCCGGGCTTGACCCAGACGAAGGCGTCGACGAGCGCGTCGCCCGTGTTGGTGGTCGGGCGCACACCGAACCCCGTGTTGATGACGTTGCACCAGTCGCCCCAGGCTTGTTGGCCGGTGGGCTGTTTGCCGTTGCGGCCTGGTTTTGGGATCCGTTAGCTTTGCCAGTGGGGGTGTGGGTGGGGGCATACCAGTGTCGACGATGAAGTGGGCGTTGAAGCCCTGCGCTGACAGGAGCGGGGCGATCGCGTTGATGTACTGCTGCTCGTCGCAGACGCTGTTGCCCTGGGTGTACGACGGGCAGGAGGAGATGGTGAAGGCGTTGTAGTTGGCGACATTCGTGGCCAGCCCGCGCACTGCGGCGGGCGAGCTGGCGTTCTTGTACACGCTCGCGTACAGGTTGGCGGCTGGTTGCTGGTTCGCGGGCCAGCCGAGCCAGCCGGCGTGTCCTGTAGTTTGGTTAGATTGTAGCGAATGAAATGGGAGGACATTTACTGGGAAGTTGAAAGAAAAGGGGGGTCTGGGGGTTCTCCCCCAGGACGCTCTAGGAGGAGGAATAAGGGATTGCCGAGTGAATCAAGGGAGCATTTGCTGGGAAGCTGAAAGAAAGGGGGGTCTGGGGGTTCTCCCCCAGGACGCCTTCAGATAAGGCAACTCACCGGCATCAAGATACATGGCCACGTTGGGAAGGTTCAGCTGCTCCAAGGCATAGTTGGTGCATTCGAGGTAGGCGCTCTGAGCGTTGGCACATTTGGCCACATTGAGGTTGGTCACCAGGTTGGCCAGACTGTCGGGCTCGATCACCAGAATGGTGTGCACATCCGAATACTGCACCAGGACCTTGCGGATGGAGTCGATGTAGGCCTTGTAGTTGGCCACACCGTTGTTGGCAATGGAGTACTCGCCGTTGCTGGCCAGCGCAGCGCAGTCGCGGTCCGGGAGGTCGTAGACCACAAACTGGCCGGCGATGGGGGGGTTGGCTCCCGCTGCGTTCTGGGCTTTGATGTCGGCCAGGTAGGTGGCCATTGTCGGCACCTTGGCAGCCACGTCCAGCCAGACGAAAGAGGGCACCTTGGCTGCGGCTGTGGCTGCTGCTTGGAGCGAGGAAAGTGTCCCCGTGAGGGATGGGATAGCCAGGGAGGCCACTTCGGAGGAGTAGTAGGGGTTCACGTAGAGCTGGTACCCACTGAACGGGTTGCCGCTCGCGCTGGCCGTGGTTGTAGCCGTGGTTGTAGCCGTGGTTGTTGAGGCGGTACTGGTTGAGGTTTTAGTGGTAGACGTCTGGGAAGCAGAAGGCTTGCTAGTCGTCGTCGTCGTCGCCCCAGCGGTGGTCGTAGTTGTCTTCAAGGTGGTGGAAGTGGCGCTGCCTGCTGCTGGTGTACACTGAGCGTAGTCTAAAGGCCATGGTCACTCAACTGCCAGATTTTCAGATTCACAGAGCACCTACATTCATTCACGGTGGAGCATGTTGCTCCCGCCACGCAACTGGTGAGTCCGGAGTAGCCCTGACCACCACATTGTCCATAGAGGGTTTGCTGAGCTTGGATTGCGTATGGCAGCAGCGCCGCCGCGACCGACAGTGCATAACGCATTTTGAAACGCGACACAAAAGTTCTCCAAGGTAGCAGGAAAGATAGAGGACGATTTGTGCTCGATTGCTCTCACGGCCTCTTCCAGTGGACGGAGACGAGCAAAACTTTATATGTCATACCCACGGGCCCACGGATAAACTGCCGCGCTGCCCTGGGACGCACCGCCGTCTTCCGTGTCCATTCCAACTCTTGGTTCTGGAAGATGAGGCTTGTCGAAGTGACAGGGGAAATGAGATGGGTCGATGCTTACCCGAGGAAGCCCTACTCCGTTCTGAAAGGGGATAGAGTGCTGTCGGTAATCTATTCCCTGTCCCAATCACTCATGCAGTGCAAGTATGCCCAGAAGGCCAAGCCAGCAGAACCAAACCAACCATCGGACACCATCGGTGGGTGGCGCTGAGACAACCCCAAATCGGCGCGGAGAGCACGCAGAGGGATCACGGGTGCCTGAAGAAAGCTGCGTGTAACCCCACATTTCGGCACTTGCAAGTGATGGAATACGCAGGGTCTGTGGGGATTAGCCTGACGGCGTGACGGCCCGTTCAGCCTGTATTTCTTGTGGTTTCACTAATTGCATGCAGGTACAGCAGCCGCATGGATTCCATTTAGCCGGAATTGCTCGGTAAAAGAGCTCGGCCAAGGACTAGTCCACAGGTGCTCAACTTCATTCCTGGGCTTGCCCACCCACCTGGACTTCTTGTTATATGCTCACTAGATTCTTTCTGATTTGGTTGGTGAACTCGCCTTGCCTATACTCGCGGCTTCTGACAGTCGCATTTTGGCTTAGCCGAAGCGGTAGCCCCGAGTTAGCCCTAAGCAGCTCTGTCGGTAATCTAGTGATTCTTACCTTACAGTGTAATCACCCGGCTGATTCCATGCAACGGTTAGAATACAAATCTTCCAAGATACAGCGGTCGTAGAAGAAATCAGAAATCAACGGGTGGTTGTATTCGCCTGTAGACTGCATTCAATGACCCATTTCGAACGCATGCGAGGAATAGACGCGTCTTGGAGCAAGCCCTATCACTGTACCCTAGGCTGAGCCCTACGGTTGTCCTAACGACATGACCTTGTCTGTCTTCTCAGTAGGAGAAAGAGTCGAAACGAAGGACTCGTCATCATCACATTGTACAATTCTATGTATTACGCTCGGCTTCTCGCCAGTAGCTTGATTAGTCCGTGCAGTTCGCACTTTCGTTTTTCTGGTGGCTGCTCCCCCCGCTGCCTTTCAAGGACACGATCTTCCTGCAACACCCCTCCCAGCCCAGCCGATCTCTCTGCGTCGCCGTGAGCGCCCTTTCTGCTGCCGTGAGAACACTGCTCGACCAGCCCTTCATCCACCAGTGGTCCTGCTCATAGTATTGCAGCAGCAGAGCATAGTGAATGAACACCCGGAGTGCCACGGGCTCGTGGCGTCGCAGCCGCGCCCAGTACTCCTCGGAGACGTTCGCGGGCCACGCGGCAACGAGACGCGTATTCTGCGGCCCTGTCACTGGATTATAGGCCTTGTAGACTACCGTCTGAAGGTGTGAGATGGCGTTGTGGTAGATCAGGTCGTCGAGCGCTATCGTATGCAGGTCGTCGAAAAGCTCGTGGATATCAGACCAGGTTGAGGGTTCGGGGGAAGAGGCGGCAGGGTGCGTCTGCTGTGGACGGATCCCCACGATTTGCCCCACGGGACGGTCCAGAATGGTCTCCTGGTGCAGTAGGAAGAGGGCCTTGCATCCACGGATGAGACCGAGCGAGTCAATGATCTCGTCTAGCGTGAGCGCATCGTTGGCGGCGATTGGGGCAGCGAAGGCCCAGACGATAAGCAGCATGGCAAAGGTGAAGGGGCCATCGTGGCCGGGCGACAGGCTCGCAAGCTGGGTGTTGAAAAGTTGCAGGCCGAGACTGTGGTGGTGCAGCGCGCGCACGTGGTAGGTGTCATTGCTGGTTGGTGTATGAGGTGAGCTGGTGGTGGTGATTGCAAGGTGGAGAGCCGCCACGGCGAGCAGGCCGTGCATCAGCATAGGGTTGGACCCGGCTTCGAAGGGGATGTGTCTTTGCCAGACATGCAGGTTACTGGGGCCATCAAATAGGGAGAGGGCTGTTATGGCGGTGAAATGGTTCATTAGCACCAGATCGAGTGAGTCGAATAGGGGTGGGGAGGCATCATTGGTTGGTGTTGGTGGTGGTCGTGGCTGTGGCTGTGGCTGTGGTTGTGGTTGAGGTTGTGGTTGTGGGGATACAGGGATATGGGTTTGGTCTTGGTAGAGGCAGGGGCATTGAGCCCGCACACAGTTGAAACAAGCAGGGCGTGTCTCATCGCACTAAGTGGCTTAGTTAGTAGTGAAGTAATGAAAGTACAGTCTTTGACCAGGCTGACGTACCTTGACGCGGCGACGCCTGCACTGAAGACAGCCATTGCGGGACTTCCGATGGAAGCGTTTGGCAGGCATGCTGGGGTAAAACAGGTACAGTACGGAGAAGAAGAGAAATGTTCAGCCGGAATACCGAAGGATTCCATCTCGGGCCTATGATCTTCCGATGTGTACTGTACGGTAAGGTATGTATCTGTCTGTCTCCGGGTACTTTGCCACTGCATGATGGTATAGCTTCAACTACTGGAAATGGTGTCCAAACCGGGACCAGGTCCCCTCTGAGGCAACTGGGAAGTTAGTAGGTGCAATTCCTACTAACTATAAGCGATCTGGTACCCATGGAGATAGATGAATCGAACCTATCAGAAGGCGTGCCGCCACGGGCCTTGAACGATAAACGATAAACGAGGAACGAGGAACGAGGAACGCGGAACGAGGAACGAATCTTAATCCCGATTGACTCCACCAACTACACACGATCATGCTTCCAATTTTAGTAACAGGATCTATCGCAAGAGGAAAGCTCTGCATTGCGTCTGGATTAAGCTTAAATATACCCTTGCGCACCCCCTAGCGTGAGCCGAATCAATCCCAGCCTCAGCCATGGACAACTGCACCAGCGTCACTCCAGCCTGCCCTGTCTCGGCCACAACATTGGGCTACTATCCCAACCTAGGCGGCAACATCTTCCTGCTGCTCGTCTTCGCCATCTGCGCTCTGGCCCAGATCTACCTGGGCTTCCGCTACCGAGTGCGCCTCTACTCCGCCCTGGTCTTTCTGGGATGTGCAGGCGAGGTGGTCGGCTATATCGGCCGCCTCATGCTCCACGCCAACCCCTGGAGCAACGGGGGCTTCATCATCCAGACCCTCTTACTCATTGTCTCCCCTTCCTTCCTCGCCGCCGCGCTCTACCTCACCGTCAAGACCATCGTGCTCACCTGCGGTCCCCAATTCTCCCTCCTCAACCCGAAGCTCTACACCTGGTTGTTTATCATCTGCGACGCGATTGGCTTCTGCACCCAGTTGGCCGGTGGCGGGCTCCAGGCGACCGCGGCGAACGGCAAGGGGTTGGAGAGCACGGTACGCGTGGGGACGAACATCATGATTGCCGGTATTGCCTTCCAGGCGGCCACGATGGCGGTGTGTGGGGTGTTGACGATCGATTATGCACGGAAAGCGTATCTGCATCGGAGACAGCAGGCCACTTATAACCCTCTCTCATGGACGTCGGTGAGCCATAGCGGGTTTGCGGGGTTTGCGGGGTGTCAGACGGTGGCTTTTGTGACAATCTTGATTCGGTGCATCTACAGGTGTGTCCTGTCTATATGGTCTTGAAACTTTGACCCATGTCAAATCACCAGCTAACATTGCTCAGAATACCCGAGATGGCAGGCGGATGGGGAAATCCAATGATGCAAGATGAGACCAAGTTTATGGTTTTGGACGGGACGTAAGTGGCGCCAATCGATTGACAAATTGCGTTTCTTGTGCTAACAGAGTTAGGATCAGTATGGTGGCTATTGGTGCGATTCTCATGACCCTTGCGTTTCCGGGATTCTTTCTCCCTGCGATCAGCAGTCGCCATGCTCGTGGCCAGCATCAGAAGACTGGCAGCCGGGTTACGGAGGAGGGATTGGAGCTGACCAAGGGCGCGGATGGCAGGAGTTGGTAGGGGTCGTGGGTGTCATCGAGCGATACAAACAATCCTTTGCTATGATTTGTGCATGGTTGCGATTTCTATCACTGAAAGGTTTTATGTTCCAGTGGAGTGTCAGTCAGTTATAATGGATTCAAAATCAGACGGGCAATCTCAGAGAACACGACGGATAATCCGAGCACTGGGAGGTCGAGGCAGCATCGAGCCGGTCCTGCAGGTCAAGTGCAATGTCTTGAATCATGTAGGCCGCGAGTATGTGTGGCATTTGGAGAGTCGATACACCAGTGGTACGCGTCTTCAACTGTAACGTTAGTCGAGACGCCGCATACTCCGGCTTCGGCAAGCCACCCGCGCAGGGCCTAGTGCTCGATACCTCAGGTTCCTACAGAATATAGTGTACGGACAGAGTACTGGCTACTGCAGTCATGGCATTCGGCCTAGCAAAAGAGCATCCCGATCGCAATCTGGGGAGTTGAAAACAGTACAGCCGGTCTGCAGTGGCTCCTCCAGGTTTTTAGTACATAAAAGGCATGTTCTCGGGCGGTATTTCTTCTACCTGCCTCTCAGACTGACAAACGTTTTCCAAAAGCAAAGCAGGGTCTGGGGTCGTGCCATCCGCTCGCGGAGTCCAAATCAATACCTCAAACCAAGACCAAATCCCATCCTCCGAGTTGTTGCACCATCTTTGGTCATGCCCGATACTCTCAGATTGAACGACTGTGCATTCCGCTGGTAGCGACGCGGGACAAGGTTAGGCACAGTCCAGCTGTGAAACTTTCGATGAGCGCCGGTCTGGTGGTATCACTATTTCATGCGTTCGACTACTGCAAGGCCGGAGATTGTTCGGGGCCCGTGAGGATAACATCCCTGCTTAGGATGTAGGGTTGGTACTGTTGGCGTGAATCCTGCAGTCGTGCATTCGATGATTGTCTGGATTGAGAGGCTGGTATTTTCACACCACGCTCACGAATCGCTCGCTCGATGACGGATGGGACATCTTCGTCGTCGTGGGATACCACACCATGATAGATGCACGAATAGTGGAGGGGGCTTTGCATGCCACGGATACATCTGGGGGACTTCAATTGCCCGTGGAAGAAGGCCTCGCTGTAGAAAGAGAACCGGTGGAGAAGATGTACTGGAATGTGCGTGGCCGGGCGCGATGTGATCGAGGCAGACCTGGACGAGGAGCTGGAGGATGAGGATGATAATCGCGAGCGACATGTATGGGACAACGAGTCATTTTTTAGTCAGTAGCTTGGTGACACTAGACACTACTTGCTTGGAAGGTGAGGTCGTTCTCATGTTCTTGAGCTGCATCGGCGGCTTAACTTCGATGGAGACTTGTCGACTGTTTCAATGCATATATATACATATATATATCCTGCCAACTCCGTCCAGAGAGTATAGAATAGCAAAAGATCAAGCAAAAAAACATACAACAGAAGGGATTCGCTGGTGGTCACCCGCCCAACTACTAACCTCCCGGCGTGTGGCTTAAGTACGGCTGAGCGGACGGGAAGCCCTGTTTGCCACACCCTGTGGTCGTATGTGCTGCAATGTCAGCTGTCTTGTTTTATATCCAACAGCGGAACTTTGTTTTACAAACACGAAGTTAGAAAACAAATACCAGCACTTCAATATCAATTTGGAACACATTCGAATGGCCCTCTACAGTTATCGTCCCGCTTGGCAACAAGGCATTCTAGTCTTAATTGTATATTGATATACAATATATATGCCTCGGAATAAGGTAACACACGGCGTGATCATAGTTTATCATTCTATCTTGTGCCTGCGTTAGGCGACCTGCTTATGATGAGACCCGGACAATCCTCGTTGCTTGTTGTCAAGCCACCTCCTATCTGTTTCTTCATGTCTCAATGCGTATGGTCTACTGATCTCGGCTGGAGGTACACACTCCTTGCTGTTGTATAGGATTAAATCTATAAATCAGGATTACTAAATCATAGAAAAAAACAAACACACACCAAAAAGAAAAAAAGGACTCGCGCGGCATCAATACAACAACTATAGTCAGCACCACCTAAGCCTCCACCACATCCCCGACCAGAGGAAACCCCTTAGGGGCTTTGATTCTGATCTCCTAGTTGAATTCGGTGCAGCTCCTGCCCGGGGTCAAGGTGAGAAGGTCGGCGGTCCGAGTGGAAGCCGCCATGGGGCTCAACCTCGACAATCACGGGATGCAGCTGTATCGGGGGACTGGAAATGGCCGACATTGCAGTCGAGGCGACGTTCAACCCGGGTTTTCAGCGGCGCGCTTCGTCTCGCTTCCATCAATGACCTCCGAAGCAGGTCGGGATTCCCGGGCCTGTCTCTCTGCCTTCTTCTTGGACTCCTTTGGCTGATAACGCCCTAGTGTCAATACCCGCTTCTGTGAAGGCAATCCTGCCGATTCCTATCTCCCCGTCCTCGTTCTAAATCCTTGCCCTGATGTCGCCGGTCATCCTCTGCCCGGACGTGCCAGCGCTGTTCCGCATCACGCGCAACAACATCGGGCACAGCGAGAAAGCCGCGAACCCCGTCATCCCGACCCCGACCCAGGGGTTACGGGCCCATCATGGTGATAGCGACCTACAGACAGATCGATCCCCGGCCTTCATGTGCGGCGATTTGGAGGTCTTCGGCATCCGCTGGGCGATCTACACCCGGGTCGACCGGAACGGCTCCGTCGTCGACCTGAATCAGCAGACGGCCCCGGGCCCCGTGGGCTGCCGCTTCGACCTGCGCGCCGAACGTTCCAACTCCTCTCTCACTCACCATCTGCACATCGACCTGAGCGCCTTCCCCACGCCCGTCAGCGCAGTCATCCACGACCAGCTCCTCGTTGTCCACCTCGGGAAGGCCCAGATCCACCTCAACCTGGCCACCTCGTGGATGGCCGAGAACCCCTACTTCGACGGCGAGCTGCAGGCCACCGCGCGTGTGCTGGGCGTGGAGGTGAAGCTGCACTCCTTCCGGGTGCGGCTGTCGGCCCACGAACTGCGCAGCCTCGAGTAAATCGTCCGCTTCGTGGTGTTTCAGTTCCAACGCCGCGGGCTGTCGCTCTTCCAGGAGACGCTGGGAAACAAGACGCTCGAGACAGTCATGAAGTTCCTCCGCGAGGTATTTGGGAAGCTCGTCGCGGACGACTCGGTGTTTATCCGGGCGGTCACCCAGATCGCCGGCGGCTCAATGAAAGTCAAGGTGATGAAGACCCTCCTGAACGTCCGCCGGGGCGCCCGCGAGGATGCCACATCCATGGTCAAACAGTTGGAGTTGCCGGAGAACGAGGCGGCGCTGCTGCTGGGCCAGGTGCTGTTGACGGTGGAGAATCTCATGCAAAATTTTCTCGTGGCGTCGCTCAGGGATTAGCAATCGGATTTAAGTCGACGAGATTAATCCAAACCCGAGTGGAGTAATAACCTTAGCGTATCCAGTATCTGACAACCTGGCAAAGGTACAATATAGTGATCATACCCCAATTGGCACCATATATCTGCAGCCAGTGCCTGGCTACGGCACGTATCAAGACGTTACGAAAACTATAGAGAGGCTCAAAGTTCGTCCTCCAAGTTCACAAAATATAGATTAAGGGAATGTAAATTAGGATTTATAATGGGAACACAACAAGGGAGAAATAACCGGACAAAGAACAGCACAAGAAGATCGAACATGATAGGATTCGGTGGTATGTGACATATCGTTAATCTGCGAGGTCTGTGCTCGAGCACGAAGCTGGTAAGGGAATCTTGAAAATAGCAGTAAGATCAAGCAAAGAGAATTGCCGCGAGCCCGAGTTGTCGAGACATGAGTTCAAGTGAAGAAACATAGGAAATCAAGGTGGCGGGCTGGACATGGCAGCGTTGTTATTTGTTAATACATGAGATTAGTGAAAAGTGAGAAACCGAATGGGGAATCGAAATCACGGCCGCGCGTGGTCGAGGAGGAACTGCGTAGCCTCGGACCAGCCGGAAGCATCCGCCATCTCCAACACCGTCTGGCCGGCGTCATCGTGCTGTGTGAGATCAACGCCGCCGCCCTTTTGGACCAAGAGGTGCAACAAGTGCAGGTCGCGGTACTCGATCGCCTGCATGATTGCGTTCCAATCCCGGTAGGTCTGATTGGGATCGGCACCTTTCTCGAGAAGAAGTTCGACCATAGAATAGTCGCGGTTGATGACACGACGAACCGCTTTGACCAGCGGAAGATGTTCGCCGGGGGCATTGGGGTCGGCGCCGCCCTCTTCCAACAGAAAGCGCACAATGTCCACGTACCGCTCACGCAGCGCGGTCGTCAGCGGCGAGAAGACGCCACCGTTCTTGTACTCGACACTGGCCCCCGCAGCCAACAGCAGCTTGATGCTCTCTAGCTGGTTGGCCAAGACCGCCATCTCCATAACGCCCTTGTGGGCGGACAGATCAGGAACCATCGGGAGCAGTCGCTGCAGCAGAGCGGGCGAACGCACCGCCATACACACCGGCCAATCTTGGCCTCGCTGATTGGGATCAGCCCCGTGGGCGAGCAGATAGCTCAGCATCTCGGACCGGTTCTCCCGGATGGCGGTGGTCAGGGCTGTATGTCCTTGGGCATTGCGATCGTTGACATTCGCCCCTCCCTGCTCAACCAGCCACTGTAGTGCTTCTGGGTTGTTGACTTGGACGGCCATCTCCACGATCCCCGGCGGTTGATGGAGGTCAGCACCGGCAGCCAGCAAGGCTGGGAGGTAACGAGGACGATTATGAGTGATACACTTCCAGGCCGGATACTCGGACGCCATAACGTTTGCGTCGGCACCATGTTCCAGCAGTAAGCTGACAATGTCGGACCGATCGTCACGGATGGCTGAGCAGAGTGGCGTGTAGATGCCATCCTTCTTGGCGTTGGGATCGACGCCTACTTGTAGCAGGATGCGGACCGCTTCGATGTTATTGATGCTGGTAGCCTGTTCCATGAGGCCGGGAGTCTTCTTGATATCAGCTCCGCCAGCAAGCAACACCCGCAAGCAGGCCGGACGATAAATGGCCAGCCAGAGGACATGCTCGGGGCCAGGCAAGTTCGGGTTCGCCCCATGTTCCAGCAAGGCTGTCACCACATTGACCTGCTCGCTCTGCACCGCTTCATTGAGGGCCGTCTTTCCCTGGCGGCCCTTGCGGTTGGGGTCGCAGCCAGCCTCCAATAACAGGCCCACCAGTTGGGGTGGCGCACGGTGATGGATCAGCTCGATCAGCGCTGTGCTGCCGTCGGGGGTCTCGTTATCCGGGCTGCCTCCATGCGCGAGCAGCTGTTGCACCATGCTGATTTTGCCGTTCGCGATCGCGCGGCTCAGCGGCGAGTCCAGCCCCGGCTCCGGGGCGTAGTTGGCATCGGCGCGGTATGTTAGCAACAAGGTCGCGCCGTCCACAAAGGACTCCTCCACTGCCACGAGCAATGGCGTCTTACCCTCCCGATCGGGCGCGTTGGGATTTGCCCCGAAAAGCAGGAGCAGCCGCATCCCCTCAAAGTCCCGCTGATGCACGGCCTCGTTCAGCGGATGGATCTGTTCTCCCAAGTTGGGTGATACTCCACTGTCCAGGAGCTGCTCCAGTAGTTTGTGGTTTCGGGCCCGGACGGCGGAGGCCAGGGCGCTGCGTAGCTGTGTGGCACTGGCCGCGCTGGTGCGACTGGGCGTGCGATGCGGCGGTCGGGGGGACGAAGTGTACGCCCGGGACTGCGTGAGGATCTCTCCATATGTATCGCCCTCGGGGGCCATGAGAGTCTCGGCGCGCGACTCTCGCGAGCTCGTCCGAAGGGGTGGACTGTCTGGTCGTGGCAATCGTGGCAAGGGCTCGAGCGGGGGAGACGGGGGCAAATCCCGATCGTGGTGGTTCGAGAGGAGGAGGGAATCGAGGGAGAGAACGGAGGACAGGGTATCATCGGGGTTGGATTGGGGCGGACTGCTGATGCCCGTCGCGGGTTGGACGAGTGGCTCTTTCGGAGGCACCGAGGGCACGGGAGACGAAGGCACCGAGGTCATCTGCGTGGCTACGCGTTCCAGGGACTTGGCCTTGTTGATGCCCATCACCGACCGACCTTTAGCCATGCGGTCAAGGGCCGCCGCCAGCCCAGCATACCCGATTCCCACTGTTTCGGCCACCAAGGGCTGTTCCCCGAGAGTCCAGTGGAAGGCCAGGACACTGATCTGGAGCGTTTCGGTCGTCTTCTGGAGGGACTCGCGGATGCGGCCGAGCTCGTGGCTGGGGCGGTGCCATCCTCGCTGGAGCCTCCCCAGGGCGCCACGATGTTCGTATTGGATCAGTTTGGTGACAAGCTTGTCGAGATGCTGGAAATCGCGATAGGCGGCGACGAACTTCTTCGCCACTTCCTCCACGATGACCTCGGGTAGGGGGCGGTTGGCGGCGGTGGAATCGGTGAGGCCCGCGTCAATGGCCCAGAGGGCGCGACAAGTGTCGAGAAAGGTCTGCGACAACTCGCGAAACCCGTCGGGCAAGTCTTGGACGGTGCTCAGGTAGTCCAGCATGTGCACCGAGATGCGGTTCCCCAGCTGGGTGGCCTGGGCCGAGACGGCGAAGACGGCCTCCTGAGCAGCCATGAGCGTGAGAGCGAAGTCGCAGCGGGGAAGAGAGCAAGAAGAAATCACTGGAGTCGAGAGGGGAGTGGCCGACCGGTTTTATTTGGGGCGGGCTCAAGGCCAGTCCACGAGCCGATCGCAGGCTGGAGGATCATCGTGGGGGAGGGGACCAACCATGTGGCGGATGCAGCTGGCGACTTAATTTCCCCTTTCCTGTTTGAATGAATGACGCTAGACTGCGTGGACGGGATAATCAATCTAAACTTCGGCGGACCCAAAGGTTCTTGAGTGCTAGCTGGAAAGTCGGGTTGAGATCGCCTTGGTTCGAGTGATAAGAGCAACCAGGCCCTGGAAGCACTGAAACCGGGCCCGCACTCCCACCGGGACTCCTGGCCACATCGTGTCCAGTGCGATCTGGATCGGGAGAGGGCAGGATCTAAGCCGCCTCCACATGGGTGAATCTAGATCCTGGGTGGGGTTTTTGTGCCTATCGCAGCGCTGCACTGGGAAAACTGGGCCCGATTCCCCACCTTGCTGACCGAAAACTCGAGAAGTCATTGGGGGAGCAGGACAGGGAGGCGATTCATGACTCTGTGGCAGAGTTGTAGCCTGCACGAAGTGTGTTTGGGACTCTAGTATAACGGGATTCGCGGTAGTTGCAGTAGTTTGCGCCAGCCAGCGTAGAAATAAGGGGTAGGCAACTGGGAGGCTATTGTCGACTCAAGGACTCAAAAAATGGTTCATCCGCTTGGCAGGGCGTTGAGCCGTGTGGAAGGACGCCGATCGCATCTTTGTAGATGAAAGCTGATGGTGTCTCACCATGGTTGCATCGCGTGGTGAAGGGGGGGAAAAGAAGGGAGATGGGAAGATTTCGCCGAGGTTCTTCCCACCGTCGAGGAATCCCTTAGTAAGCACTAAACCGGAACGCGCGATGTGCGTCACGTGCTGCGGTACCCCCCGCATGGTTTGCCGCTGTTGCATGTTTTGCACTCTTTGCCCGGTTTGCATCGGGGCTCGCTCCGCCCCGAATTCGGCAGGTGCATTGAGATTAGTAAGGTACTAGGTAGTAGTTAACGGAATTAACTACAGTACCTAGTACTACCTACGAAGTAGAAACTGACCACATTTGCCTGCATCAATTGTTGATCAGCCATAGGTGATATCTATAGAAGTGCATGACTTTACTCGGTGAGCTGCTCCCATATCAAAGTCAATGCCATGTCTCTGAGTCAGTGACGGGGCATCGGAGGCTGCTGCCGACGCGATGTCGCCCGAATGTATATTTCCCCGGGAGGATCGCAGAAGACCTCCGACTTCGCTGCAAGGGAGAACTGACATGTGCCCCAGTGCCTATTCTCCATCTACCAAGACAACGCATATCTGCTCGTTGATGTCGCTCACGCTGGCGCGAGCATGACTGAGGGATCAATTGAAATTGGTGAAACTAGATACAGGCAGAAGGGTAAGAGAATAGAATATAGTACAAAGAGCCCCGAGACGGATGACGCGCTCGTCCGCTTAGTTGCCGAAGCTGAACTCGGGGATGCTGATGGTGGAGACTGTCCAGGTCTTGCCACCGTCAGTGGTGGTCATCTCACCCGTCACGCCGCTACCCTTGGCCATCGTGTTGATATAGTTGGGGTCCGCCACGTCGAGGATGATCTTGGTGTCGATCCAGGCTAGAGCCAGTTCGTGAGTGACATTCCCAGCGACGGGGTTTAACGGGGAGAGACTTACAGTGAGCGCCAACAGTACCGCAGTTGTTTTCAGCACACTCCACGGCACTACCCCAGCCCTGGGCGTG